CGAAGCAGGACAGACAGATATCTGGGCATAAAGGTCATGACAGTGTTGTCATTTAAACTGGAGCTAGTGAAACAAAAAATACCTAAAACAACACATGCAGAATTTTCTCACCTCCCAGGAGCCTTCCTGGATACCAGTTTTTAACACTCCTCCTCTGCATCTCGTCATAAAGAAAGACACAGGAACCAGCTATGGAAAGACCACACCTGGAGTCAAGGGCTACAGCCACTGGCCCATACTGGACAGGCCTCGCCAGCAGAAGGACCGGCTGAATCAGACCAGCAGAGCCTTTCCTTCCTTAGCCACTCACACGAGGCAAAGCCAGATTCAAAGTGTCCCCACAAGGCTCTGCCTTCTGGATAAAGCTCATACTCTCTGGCCTTGGCAAGCAAAACATTTTCAATCTAACCCGTTTACCTCATGCTCTGTGTTTCACATCTCTTCACTTTCTATTTCTTCTGCCTGGAGCGTCTGTTTCTCACTCTATTCACCTGGAACCCCTAATCATCTTTCCAGATTCTGTATCACTTCTCTTTTATGAAGTCTTCCTCAACTCCTCGGGTTCAGGACCCTTCTGGGCCTGGTATACACACCATGGCCTTTTCTGTATCAGAAGCTGTTTGTACAGGTGCATGTATCTTTACTCTAGACAGATCTCCTCCTGGGCAGGGTCTCAAACCTGTGCACCTAGAGCTTAGGCCTGGCTCAGAGCATGCCAGTGTGTGGGACTAATGGACCAGTGCCCTATGGCCTGGCCAAAGGAAGTCAGCTGCAGGAGTGAGCAGAAGCAGGCTGGCTGTGACGAGAGCCTCCTTCACCACCACCCTGCCCACTGCCCCATGCAGCCCTGCTGTTTTCGGGTAGAGCCACCCATCACATGAGGAGGCCTCTGCCATTAGGATGATGTTACAGTCTATTTTGAGGGTCACATTGGTGCATGTGTCAGCCTGGCCAGCCACACCCTCTATGCATCATCTCGAAGAGCCAGGGACACCGATAGGTCCATGAGCTCTGCCTGAAGAAATCGTTCCTCCCACAGACCCTCAGCTTCAGGGCCTCCTTGGTTTCCCAATCAGATCACCCTGGGTGCTCCCCATCTCCTGGCATCACTGGCAAGCTCTGATGTCTCCTCACTCCACCAGACCTGTTCCCCAGGGTTGGTAGCACTGGTGACTCGGCAGAATGCAGCTGAAACCCATCAGTCTGCACAAAGCTCTTGACTCAAACTCAGCCCCTTCTCCTCAGCTTTCACTTACATTTCCGGAGACCCCAAGAAGCTCAATATCCTAACACTGAGCTAGTTATTGACCATACGCATTATGGGTCCAGACAGCTCCCAGCTGCTGGGAAAGTCCCACTCATCTCTCACAGTCCTGTCCGGCTCCACTTCCTGCTTGGTGGACCACAGGCTCCCTGAGGACAGGCCAGCCTATGCCAGCTTCACCTCTGTTCTCTCTGCACCTCGCGTGGTCTAGCTGCGAGTAAATAGTCAACGAAATGAAACTTTTCTGACTGGACTTAATGTGTTCTCTTACAAAAGACAAGGACAGAACAAAGGTCTTTCTGGAGAAAAATACTGACAATCGAGTTCATGAGGCCCCTATTTAAATCTACAGAAAAACAGGTCTCAGTTCAGTGAGATGGTCAGGCAACCAAACCTAGTCCAAAGCACGCCACCCTTCTCCAGTATTAAGTGCCATTAACCTCTGTCCCCTAAGTATCCAACTGGACTTCCTTCACTTTAGAGAAGGAATGGAATGGAGCCACAAGAGGGGAAGGCAGTAGCAGCAAGGAAGGACCCACAGGAGCTCATATTCCCTGGGGCCCAGGAAGCCACCAAACACTTCAGCATCTCAGGGCTAATGCCTGAAATGGGTACATCATCACTTATTCCAGCTGCTTCTCCACGAGGATCACACTGCCATGAGGAGGTCACACAGGACATGGGTCATGGACTAAAGCCGAGTCAGTAATACGTCTCCAACACTTACTGCGAGGCAGGGAGGCTATGACTGACCATAACTGCCCCTGCTCTCCTCAAAGCCATACCTGCAGTATTCCAACAGCTGGCTGCCTCCTGCCCCTGGAAAGGCCTCCAGCAGTTGCATACAGAAGCTTTGAGGGGACACTCATACGATGACCATCTGACAGCAAGCAGCTGAGGCTGCACAAAGCTGACATACAAGACCTGGAACTTTTTTCAAACTAATGTTTCAAAGTCAGCAAACAGTTACATGAACACAGAAAAGCTGGGACCACCAGCCGAGCCTCCTGGTGGGCCCCACTATCAGAGAGACCTGTACTCACTCCACAGGGTCCTCAAGACTGTGAACTTTCAGAAACAGCATCAGGCCTGTCTTGCAAGCCATCTCTAAGTTTGAGCCACCACCTTTAGGTTTGTAGTCAAATGCACACACAGTATTCACAGGGAGAAGATGCTTGCCTTTTTTTAAGACTTACAGGTGGCACCTATAATAAGGCGCTCTGACAAAACAGATTTTCCAGCAAATTGGGTCTAAAACAGAAATGTTTAATTTCAGTTAACACATTGCCACACACCTTTAAAATTGACGACCGTGCTTAGAAACACATTTGCCGTCATTTGCGGCAACGTGTTAAAGAAATTCTGTGTTCTAGGTTTGAGTACTTCCCTTTTAGAAAATGTATAGGGGCTCCGGTAGCCTACTGTGTAAAGCACTGTGCTATTAATAAAAGCCGTTCGAATCCAACAGCTGCTCCGCAGGACAAAAAATGAGCAATCTCTTCCTGTGCGAATTACAGCCTCTGAAAACTCGCTGGAGAGTCAGCTATGAGTAAGGTGATGACTTGATGGCAATGAGTTTGAGCTTCATGTCTGAATATTTCCCGTAGAAAAAGTATAAGACTAGAGAGAAAGTCAAGACCCCCTGGTGGAACAACGGTTAAGGATGGGGCTGCTAACCAAAAGGTCAGCAGTTCAGATGCACCAGCCACTCCACGGGAGAAAAACGTGGAATTTTTCTGACTGGACTTTATTTCCATAAACATTTCTGTTCTGGTAACCCTGTTAAGCAGTTCTGCTCCGTCCAAGAAGACTGCTGTGAGTCAGAATCAATTTGATGGCAATAGGCTTAGTTTTGGTTTCAAGAAAAAAAAAAAGTAACAAAGGTCCATGTTTCTCCCACAAGTTTACATAAAGCTTCTCATTATCTTTGGCAACATGGAACTCTGCACCAAGGAACATTCCACTCTACACAGTCACAATTTTTTGAGGTGCCTGCTAAAAGATCATTCTCATTCATACTAATTTAAGCATATTAAATATGTGTGTGTTTATCAGAAAGAAAGAAGGAAAAGTGGGGGTTCTAAAGCCTTTCTTCAATAACATAAACTTCTTATTTGTAAATTATCTACATGTTAGCACCACAATTAAGCACTCAGTTAAGCTACTATCCCACAGGCTGGCAGTCTGAACGCACCCAGTGAAATAAAGACCTGGCAACTTGCTCCCATAAAGATTACATCCAAGAAAACTGTGTATGCCGTAGACGACATCTATACTCTGTCACATGGAATCCCTGAGTTGAAATTGACTGGACAACAACTAACAAGCTCTGGAAATGTACTACTTGTACATAGAAGAAAAAGACCCAAGAGCTACCCATTATCAGAATCTCAGAATCACAGAATTCTGGAGTTAAGTTGCAGCCCGGATACTGGCCTAGCTCTCCAAAGGGCAAATGAGGAGACCGAAGCTCCGAATCCTACTCAAAGTCACACAGCCCTCCTAGGCAGGGAAATGACAGTATCAAGGAAGCAGGCAAGGTTCTAATCTGGAGGTCCTGCCCTCAGTACTACGCTTACTTAGGTATTTTGCATGCATCACAAGGGGACAGTCCCCAGTAGAGAGGAAGCACTCTGAATGCTCAAGAAACACACTCAGGGTTGGCATGAAGGTCAATGATGGAGTTGGCAAACTTCCCACACTTGACCCAAAGACTGATGAAGAAAGCCTTTTCACAGCAGCTGCAATTATGTTAGTTCATACCTTTAAACACCTGCTTTGTCACAACCACTGGGAAAAGGAGAGGCCAAGGGAAGAAGAAAAAGAAAACTAGAAACCTTCCCTCCTGTATTCTCATGATTTCTTGGGTCTATTTTCAAACCTGTTGCTCTCAACTCACAGCAATCCTGGGGGACAGAGAAGATCTGCCCCACACGCTTTCCAAGGCTGGGACTCTTTACAGGGCAGACTGCCACGTCTTTCTCCCGCAGAGCAAAGATGGGTTAAAACTTGGCAACTATTTAGTTAGCAGGTGAGTACTTAACCCCTGCACCACCAAGGCTCCTCTGTGTCTGCTTAGGTCACCCTAAAGTAGGGAGTCTCCCCAATGCTGACTTTAATGAGGACCTTCTTCAAGCTGGTCCAACTGGTGTTCAAGTTCCTGGACTGAAAAACAAGTTTATAAGCAGCAAGGTCACCTGATTCTGACCATGTGCAAGCTGTTTACCTTAAGATGACAGGCCAGAGGCTACCAAAGCTTTGATGAACGCTACAAACTCTTCAACTATCTCTTTGAAGTCTACGAGGGCATCCACATGATTAAATGCCCTAAGAGGGAACCTTCAATGTGGCAAAAGTGTGAAAGAAGGGAAGTCATAGCGCTATAATCTAGCCAGGGAAACCTCATTCTGGCTGATGAATTGTTAATGCAAATGTGTTACCTGTTTCCCTGACCTGTGAGGTATCTCATTGCATCACCTCTATAAAAGAAGTCCCTCTACCCTCCCAACCCACCTATTCACTATTAAAGTCTACTGTACAGACCAGTCAAACCCACAGTTGGGAAACAGATGGAAGCCAACCATTGAACTCTCTGCAGCCCAGACTCATGACTACACTGATAATCAGGCCAAACAAACATGGCTTAGAGGCTCCCACTGGTCACAAGAGTGAGCCAAAGGCCTCTAACTCTGATCACAGGCAACACTGAGGAAAACTAGAGCAACAAGGGACTTACCCATCTCTTCCTTTACTGACAATCTTCACCTCAAAGTAATAAATGCCACAGGCAGCAGGTATGGGGTGGGTGGCACGCACTGAGGCAGCATCTTTGTGATTTTTGCCATGACCTAAGAGGAGAGAGCAAGGAAGATATTTCAGCAAATGGAAGCCTACGTGGAAACTACAGCAACGCAAAAGCTCACCCCTCCATGGCTAGATGAGGCCCTCACACAGTTGAAGTCCCAATTAGTTAACAGCTGAGCAACCTGGAACCTCTCCCACCTTTGCTCATCTCTTCCTGAGAACAGAAACCTTTCCCAAGACATTGTCTCCCATAAAGACAAGAAAAAATACAAGCAGTTTAGGCGCATGTGCTGATGGCGGTTTGTCCAGAATCCAGGCAGTCCACTTAGGTGACCAGCAGTGAAAAAGGAGACGGCCTCGGAAAACCATTGCTAAAGGTTAAGTGCAAAATCCCAGGTCCGGTCGGGAATGTCTAGCAAGAGAACAAGTCCGTCGGCCTCTTGGATGTAACCACCTTTTTCTTCAGACACTAAGAAGTGGTGACAGATCAAGCTGGGGTTGGAGCCAGCCCAGGTCACGCAGGAAAGAATCGGGTGGAAGATCTGGTCCTGCACTGGGGTTAGACACCTGTTGCATCTCTGGATCTCTGGTCTCTCAGGGCACAGCAGAGAGACAGGCAACCCTCGGCCTGGTTACCCCAACCACCCTGGACATCAACTAGCTAAGACACAACCCAGGGCATCTGAGCCGGGGAAAGGGCACGTGGGGCCAGGGGCTGGACGGCACCGCCGTCCCGTAGACGCTCCAGCCTCTCCCCCTGCGGCCAGAGCAGCCAATACCTTTGTAGTGGACACGGAGATTGCCCTGGGAGAGGCCGATGTAGTTGTACTTGTCCTTGGGGCTCCAGGAGCGCGGCAGCGGCGTCTCGTGCTGGTTGACTGCGGGGTAGAGACGCTGCAAGCGCCGGCTCAGCTCCTGCTCCCCCGGGGACGGCAGTCCGCCCCCCGCGCTCCCGCCGGAGGAGTCCCCAGCCTGCGGGTTCCCAGCTCCCGGGTCCGCCGTCGCCGCCGCCATCTTGGAGGGAGCTGCTATTGTGTCACTGGGGGCGGGGAGGAGCGGGACCAGATCCGCCCCGCTCAGCCAATAGCCAGCGAGCCTGCCGGGGCCGCAGGGAAACCGAGTCCCGGTCCGGCACCTCTCTTTGGACACGGCCACACCTTGCCACATTTCGTACTTCACATCCTACAATGCAGAGCTCTCCAGGGACGGCCCAAGTCGGGATGCTATGGAATTTTGGGAAATGTAGTCCAAACTTGCTCAGTCTTAAGCCTGCGTAATGGAGTTTGCGCACCACCGAAAACTACAATTCCCGCTAGCAATGTGGCTCCTGCCTCTCAGTTCAACTCCCCCTCCTATGGCCAATGCTGAACTCCCGCCCAATTTTGGGAGCTAGGGTTAGAACTGTTGCAGGTACTTAACTCTGAGGGGGCGCTGACCCTGGACCTGCGTCCACCTTTGCTACTTGGCTTTCCTTTGAGCGTCTGACGTCGGGCTAGAGGGCGGAGCGCGCGAGTCCTGACTCCGCCTTCACAGCTGGGGCGCTGGGGCCAGGTTGCCATGGCGACGGGTGTACACTTCAGCAACTTTCCGGGCGGTGGGTGTTACTACCCGAAGGCCTGAGGGTCATGGCCTCGTTGCAATCGCAGCAATGCAACTCTGAATCCGTACAAAGGTAGGCATCAGCTGAGCTGAGGGCGAAGAGAACTTACTTTTGGAGAGGGAGGCGGCGTCTGGTGCCAACATTTGCACCTCCTACTAAGTCTGTCTTCCAGTGGCCTGAGCATCCAGCCCCACAGGAGCTGTGGATGTGTTAACGGAATCTGGGCTGACTTGTCAGCCCGGAGAGGACGCTGTGTGCTAGCAAAAGGTCAGGGATGGTTGATCGTTAGTTGTAACATGAATTATATGCTAAATGCTTTATACCTATAAACCACCTTGGTGGTGCCGTGTATTAAGCATTGGTCTGCCAACCTAAAGGTGAGTGGTTCAAATACACTAAGAAAAAGTGAATCAGTCGGCTTCTTATATAGATTTACCCTAAACGTAAGATTTTCTTCTGCTCCATATAGCATCATTATGCATTAGAGAGGGGAACTCTCATAGTGGTAAGGAAATGCCAACCTGAAAGTACAGGGGTTCAGATCCACAAGCTACTCTACAGGAGAAAGATGGACAGTCTCCACCTGTGTAATTTACTACTGGAGGGTCAGCTACAGGTTGGTTCCCACCGTACACGACAACAACACATGACTTACGGCCGACTCAAGGACACTTACCAACAAATAGGGCTGCTGCTATTCAAAAGATTTTTTTTTAAAAAGCCCATCATGGGGAGCTCTGGTGGCTTAGTGGCAAGAAACTGCACTGCAATCCCAGAGGTGCACGGTTCGAATCCACCAGATGCGAAGGAGGGGCAATCTCCTCCTGTA